GTTTCCATTTTCCTTACAGTACCTGTATTCATCTTGCACTCTCCTTTACAGATTTTTTTTCTATCCTCATGATTATTTCTGGACAAAATGTTTTATCTCATTTATTGGAATTTATCTTCAAGACTCTTTTACATACTGGTATCTAAACCAACATTTTAAAACAGCACATAGCACTGAAACATGTATCACAACTAAACATTACACTTGAGACCAGGAAAATATTTAATACATTTGAGCTATATGAAATTGTCAGTTTATAACTATTATAACCTACAATTGGTGTGATGATTTTTAAATTTCTTACGTAAAGCTGTGCTTTGCTTTGTTTTTATTATATATTATAAAAGATATCCAAAACATTGGCTGCTTTCTTACTTAACTGTAATTTCATATAAATTATTAACTGCCTCCAAGCCACTTGTTTCCAAGTTTTGAGCAATAATAAGCATTTAAGTATAACATTAAAACTCTGAAAAATGAAAAGGTCCTACTTTTTAAACATGGGTAATGACAAGAAATTTGCAATCAAGATTTCTATCATACATACAATTGAAACAATATAATTGTCTCAGATGTGACCATGAGTTATGTTGAACTTTGATTTTGGAACTTTTTCAAATGTGAAGGGCTTAGGATGTGTCACAATAAATAAGTCTTAAAAATGATTATGTTTCAAAATTATGAAAACTTTCTACTTATTTCTAAATATCTTTGTAGTATCATAACATTAGGAGAATCAACTCCACATTATTACACACACACAAACACACACACACACACACACACACACACACACACACACACACATACACACACACAGGACCACTTTTAGAGGTTATTACAAGTGACTACTTCAAGCAACAGATCTTCTTGGTCAAGATCCTGTTTCTACATTCTTTTTTTTTTTTTTTTTTTTTTCATTTGTTGAATCCTGCTAAACAATGCTTTTTATAAAGGTCTTTTCAAGTCTCATTTGAGCAAAGTAACAAATAAAAGTAATGTTGAAAGTTTTAAAAATACATTTCAAAACTTTAATCTCGATTAATTTGCAAAATAAATGAAAAACACATCATAGAACAGGTTTCTCAACCTGCAGGTCTCAACCCCTTTGGGAACCCAGTGACCCTTTCAAAGGGGTCACCAAGATCATCCTGACTATCAGATATTTACATTATGATTTATAACAGTAGCAAAATAACTTATGAAGTAGTGATGAAAATAATTTTATGGTTGGGGGGTCACCACAAAACAAGGAACTGTATTAAAGGGTCACAGCACTAGGAAGGTTAAGAACCACTCTAAAAGAATATTTACAAAAAGCCCAAAAGTTGACATTAGAAGATAAATAAATAACATGAATTGGAATTTTTCAAGGTAAAAGGTACACAAGCTTCATCTCACATTTATAATGCACTTCTGTTTGGTTTTTATTGTATTTCTTTTTTTGAAACACTAGATAACATATTTTTTTAAAGTATATGTATTCATCTTCTTAGTCTTCTTTATAATCTTGTATTTATATGTATGCACACATGATACATACACACTGCATACATGTATAGATGATTTATATAGCCATGTAATGTGTATATTCTGTATTACTAATATACTATAATCAATATTTGCTGAATTATGAATGAAATCAAAATCTAGTTAATCAACACTTATCTGATGCTAGTAGAACAACACAGGTTTACTTAAAATAAATCATCTCTTTCTTAAGGTTTTTATTTATCTTCACAATTATTGTGTTATAAATAACTCATTTGCATTGTTAATTAATAAGTTATGAGTCATAAACCTGAGAGTCTCATTTACTCATAACCTTTCCTATTTTCTCAATAATCATTCCTTAGCTTTAGTCATATGTTGTCATTGGTACCATACAAATAATGAGGGTCTGCAATGAGACAGGAAATATGTTTAGCACAAGGAATACAGAGAGTATTGTTTACCTAAAAGATGTGATTTAGGGCAATTAAATATAGAGATAAGTGTCAATTGGCAAAGTCTCAATGTTTTATGTGTGTCTGGAGTTAATTGCTATGCTTAAGGCATGGCTATTATAGCTTCTTAGAGGAAAACAATAACCCAACAAATTTCATTATTGTTATGAAGGGAAGACTGAGGTATCGCTAAATGTGTCAAGGTACATTCCTCATAGGCGAGGAAACAATCCATGAGCAGGTGGAATCTCACCTCTCCCCTTATCAAGTTTTGTTGCTGTGGCCAAATGACAATAGAGTCACCAAATGAACTGGTTCCCTTAGAGCTCTAAATAGCAAATTGAATCATTCCCTCTTCCTTATAGTTTTGTCAAACTCTCATAATGAAGGTTAGAGACATTAATCTGATACAAAGACCCTACCTAGACCAATCATCTCGGTTTGATTAGATAATACCAAGAGTCTACTTTGAATTACTCTTTTGGTCCAGAATACATACTTATTTCCCTCCAATTATTTTTTACATGTTTTCAAAGACAACCATATTTTCTTACATATTTAGAGATCCTTTAATGAGATTGGGCAGACAGATTCATTATAACCTCCATGTAGTTCTAATTTTTACAGATGTCACATTCAGTCATCAAGGCACAGTTTATTAGTTTGTCTCTGGACAACAAGTTATGCTTCCTGGTAACTGTACTCCTCTCACAGCCTCACTTGTTGAGGGTACCAGACTGTCAAAATGAAACAATACTAGACAACTCTGCTCTGGAGTAACTTAAATAGATCTCTTATTCCTTAAGAAACTTGGTGTTCTCTATGTTAACTGGTAGCTCTTAGACATCATAGAACATAATTACTCAAGTGGACTTTAGGATTATGTGACTTAGTGGTTTTGACCAAGACCCACAGCAAAAAGAGTTGTGCATCAAAGACTCACACATCTTAAATGAAAAACTTACTACTTAAAATACAGACTATATGAAATAGTACCCCATTATTGTTTTAAAAAATTAATAATTTCAAAATTAAATCAACAATAAGCCCCCAAATAGCTTTGTATTTAATCTTGAAGATAATCACAAATTCTGCTAATGGTTATGCCCTCTCACCCCTTCTATTTTCTATTACCTCTTCCCAACTTTTATGTATGAACAAGAACGTGAAGTCTTGGGAAGTAAAGGATTTTCCCAGACAGATGAGTGGAAACCTGGCTATAAAACACATGTAAATAAATATTCCCTTTTCCTCTTCAGTGTCAGAGGGAATCTTATCTAAGAAGCCATGGATTTTTTTATTTATTTACTATCTGAAATGTGATCCCTTGGTCAAAGTACCTTTGCAAGGATTTCATTGAATCCACTAACTAGCCTCATACTGTCTTCATGATCAGTCCAGTTTGGGGTAGGATGTCTGTGCTAAAATCTTTTGCCCACCACAATCCTTCCTCCTTGTCTTCCCCAAGCTCTGCCTAGTGTTTGTCTACTGTGAGTCTCTGCATCTGCTCCCATCAGATGCCTGGGGAAGACTCTCCAAGAACAATTTGGCTAGGCACAAATGGGTTTGTGCCTAGTCTAATAAGACTAGAACTCCAAGTTCAATTGATGTCCCTGGGAGGGCTACTCTTTTATGAAGCAAAATGAAAGAGCTGTGGATTTGGGGGAGAAGAGAGGTTGGAGGCATGGGACAGAGAGGAGGCTGCAGTCAGTATGTGTTTAATGAGAGGAAAATAAATAAAAAGGGAAAAAAGCCCTCTTGTCTAGAAGTCAATACTCAGAACTATTCACTGTGAGTATTGTGAGGAGGCTTTAACATAACATAATAAATTATAATAATAAATTATAATACATGGCCAGAGTAGAGAAGAGAGTATAAGAAAGGTATAATAAAAAATATCTGGAGTAGAAGAGAGATCATAATAATACATCAGAGTAGAAAAGTAAATATAGGTGATGCCATAAATTGGAGGGGAAGAGAGCCAGGTTGTTAGAGAGGCATGCCATTGAATTCTGAGATAAAGGTAAATGAAGACTTCAAATTTTTTTATATACATTTTCAAATTTAAATTGTTAACCTATCATATTCATTTCTGTACATTTTATTTTACTAAATAATAAAAATGTGCTTTCTGATACTTTAAAGTATGGCTATTGTGGTGGGTTATATTATTGTTATAATCTGTCTGGGTAAGCATTAGGCATGAAATGAACAACCTTCCTTGGGCTCATGCTGGCATTGGCAAATAGTTGTGGAATATAAAAAATAATTAACATTTAAAAATATGACAGTCCACATGCATAAAGTATTATATTTCATTGGAGACAGACCAAGCACCTCTTTAAAAGATTAAATAACAAATTTGAGCTTTTTGGAGTTTGAAAGAAATCATTGATCACATATCAGTTATTCATTTCAGTCTAAACCAATAGCATGAATAGTACTACACAAAATTCAAAGCCAGCCTGGTCTACAGAGCAAGTTCCAGGACAGGCTCCAAAGCAAAACAGAGAAACCCTGTCTCAAAAAACAAAACAAAAATAGTAATTTTAATAAAAAATTAAATAGGTGATCATTTATTTTAGAGTTCAAGTTTTTAACTCAAAAATTGTTTACACATGAGTATTTTAATTTAATTTTATTCAGTTGCAGTCATCCTTTTAATTGGAATTAAACAAAAAATTTAATATTCTCTACTAATCAATTGGTATTTTGTCATTCCATAATATACATCATTGAAGGATATACTACTAAAAACATACCATGTGAGCATAGTAAGAAATCAAATTAACTATGCTTAATATTTTACCCTTTGAAGAAGTGCTTTTTCTAAATATTAAAATATAACACTGTTAACATATTACATTTAATTCCTATTTAGAAAGAAAGTATCACCTTGGTCCGTTTTTACATTCAAAAGCCAATGAGACAAAACTTCAACATATAATCTCATATGGTTAATATAACTTCTACCTGTCAGAATTTGCATAGCCTGTCCCAGTAGATGTAAATATCTGTCCCCATTGTCAACTCTGAGAAAAGCTGGGTACTTACGCGTACATCATGGACCCAAGACTGGGGAGGCTTCTATCCACTCACCATCTGATCTCTATCAGCCAGGTCAGGGCTGGGAGGCTGAAAAATAATGACAGTCACTGGGGACAAGAAAGAAAACAAGTCCAACAGGTTTACTGCCTGAGGTTTTCTGTCTTCATGTAGCCTGATAGGAGCATGGTCTGTTTGGTGCCAGCCATTGCCACACAATGAAGCAATTGTCAATACCTGCATTGAGAAGCTCCAAGCAGTAGAGGGCCCAGGTGTGCACAAGTGGTGATGATTCAGAAGTCACACTTTTCCAGTTGGTGAGGTATGATCAGAATTGAGGTGTGGACTCATGGGGGTTTTCTTGTTTTGTTATTTTAAACAAAACAAAACACTAGAATACAGTGACGCCACTTTTTCCTGTTGTCAGAGATCCTTCATCTCTTCTCTTTGAGGGAATCATGAGATGTGGGGGAGCAGAGTGGTCCTAAGTTCTACACCAGAGAACCTGTGCCTGTGTCCTTGGTGGTGTGACCATGGACAGTCAGATTAGCTTGTTGAAAATGACTTTCCCCACAAGCAAAACAGTAAAATTAATTTTATCTAACAGTGGCCACTTTACCTCTAAAAATAAAAACAAATTTTACCAAAAAAGTTTACACTTCCAACAAACAAACAAAAATGTCATTTCTCTTTTCTCATCACTGGAAATATTAGTATATTTCAGAGGCATAAATAACCAGTATTTAGAAATAGTCCTCATATAATTTGGAGAATTCAGAATGTATGAATTTCTCATAAAATTATGTAAAGTTACAGGGCAAATATTACAATTTTAATACAAAAATTCAAAACCAGGCTAGGCCTCGCATAGGTCTGTAACCACAGTTGTTCAGAAGACAGATGCAGAAGGAGTCTAAGTTCAGGGAAAAGAGCAAGTGTTTCTCATCCTGTGGATTGGGACCCCTTTTGGAGGTCACATATCAGACATGCTACATATCAGATATTTACATCACAATTCACAACAGTAACAAAATTACAGCTATGAAGTAGCAACAAGATAATTTTATGCCTGGAGTTCACACCACAACTTGAGGAACTGTATTAAAGAGCCCCAGCAATCAGAAGGTTAAGAACCACTGATTCTGCGCAATACTGACTATACTTTTGTTGTGTATACCCTTTACTACATCAACTACACCCACACGCACACCCATAAACCCACACACACACTCCTCATCTCTTCTGAAGGGATGTTGGATTATGTCAAAGACTTTTTTACCTGCATTTATTCAGGCAGTTATGAAGTTTCTGTCTGTGAGTCCATTTGTGTTGCCTATTACATTTACAGATTTGTTTTTGTTGAACAATTCCTTTATCTCTAGAATAAAAGCAATTTGACCATGATGAATGATCTTTTGACTGTGTTCTAGTTTGAAAATATTTAATGAAGTTTTTGCATCTATGTTCTTCAGAGAGATCAGTCTGTAATTTTCTTGTGTGTGTGTGTGTGTGTGTGTGTGTGTGTGTGTGTGTATGCGTGTGTGTGCGTGTGTTGTGTGTCTGGTTTGGATATCAAGATAAAAGAGAATGTGGAAACTCTTTCCTTTCCTATTTTACATAATGGTCTGAGGAATTTGTATTTTTTTTTTTTTAAATAGTCCTGGTAGGATTTATCTGTGATTTCATCCAGAATTTGACTTTTTTAGTTGGGAGGGGGTTTTTCATTTATTTTATGTTTTTAAGTACTGCTTTAATTTCACTGTTTGTCACAAACCTTTTTTAATTCTTTTGTCACATCTTGGTTTACCTTTACTAGGCCATATACAAATGGAAATTCTTCCATTTCTTCTAGATTTTCTAACACAAAAGGATATAAGCTTTTAACACACATTTTGATGCTTTTTAGAAATTCATTGGTATTTATTCTAATGTCTCCCTCTAACTATTAATTTCTGGCTTCTTTCTCTTGACTAATTTGGCTAAGGATTATCATTATTTTTATTTTTTCTTCTTTTGTATTTTGTTTGTTTGGAGAGAGGGTTTCTCTGTGTATCCCTGGCTGTCATGGAACCCACTCTGTAGACCAGGCTGGCCTTGAACTCACAGAGATACACCTGCCTCAGGCTCCCAAGTGCTAGGATTAAAGGCTTGTGCCACAACTGCCTGGCTGTATTGTTTATCTTTTCAATAAGCCACTTTACATTTCATTGGTTTTCTTGGACATTAGTTTGTTTCTAGCTCATTAGTTTTCACCCTGATCTTAACTTACTGTCTATTAATTAATGTTAATTCATTTTACAACTGTGTTCCAGCTAAATGAGGAAACATGGAAGATATGAAAGAAATGATGATTATGCCAAAGAGGGGAAAATACATATAGTAGTAATGAAGATCTGTTTCCATTATTCAAAAACTCATTTAACTTCATTCTTTAAATTATACTACAGGAAAATAATTTATGTGCATATAGCTAAAGTTTGAAAAATAGCAGTTTCTACTGTAATATAACAGTTTGTGAACTGCAAGACCAGTTTCTAAATATCCCTTCATTATACTGTCAGGATCTTGACAGTTTCCAGATGGATTGCCTTCTTTCACAATGCTCTCACCACCATTCTCAAAAGGGGAATGGTCTACTAGAAAAAGACCTTAGCAATATCTGTTCTGTTTGATTTATATGTCTGTTAAGAATAAGAATTGTGTCTTGTGTGTTGTATAGGGATAGTCTGATTCTATGGATTGATTTACAATTATCCTCTTCAAAAAAGAAAAGATTTCAAACCAGAATTTAGCCTGGCAAAAGGTGGATGTTTCCAGGTAGGAGAGAAAAAAATAAAACTAAGAAAAAAATTTTTGTGCTATGAATCTATTCCAAAAAAATGATTTTTATATATTCTTTCTGGATAGAGAAATAGCATCTAAATCAAATGCCAAAATTTAAGATGCCAAATCATCTTATGCCACATAGAGAAGCATGAAGAGGTCTCTGGTCCCCCACAAAGAATGTGGATGGATTTCCATCATCAGAAAAAGCAGATGCTCTGGTTCATTAGAAGGCCAATGAACAAGGAATTATACATCTGCATATATACATGTAATAAGAATTAGTGAAAAATAGAGGTCATGAATTCGAAAAAATGGGGCAGTATATGTAAGGGTTTGGAGGAAGGAAAGGGAAGGGTAAAAAGACACACTTGTATTAAAATCTCAAAATATTAAAGAAGTAATTTTAAAAATCAAAAAGATATTAAAGAAGTAATTAAAAGATTAAAAGGAGTAATAATTAAACTTCACAACACAACCTATTCTGTATGGCATGTTTATAAAACCCTGTGAAATGATGAAGATGCTAGCATGATTCTTGGGGATAGTATTCTTCCATACTGATTTCCTCCATGACTTGGGAACTCTATACATGGATGTTCTTCATTTCCCAAGTAAATACAGATATTCTTTCTCAAGATCCAATGACTATTAGAGCCATTTTTTTTACTTTTAGAAAACATTTATATTTTTGTATTTTGCATGTAGAAGGGGGTATATGTAGGAGGAAGGAGGGTATGTTCACATGCTCACACCTAGGTATATGTGTAGAACTCTAAGAACAAATTTTAGGAGCCAACTCTTTCCTAAATTTTCATTTAATTTATTTATCTTCCCTCCACCCCACCCCTCCATCTACTTCTCTATCCACTCCTCCTTAGTCTTCATTCAGAAAGAGGCAAACTTCCCACAGAAGTTAACAAAGCATGGCACATCAATTTGGACCAGGACCAAACTCCTGGTGGTGGAAGGAAGAGATAGTTTTGTTCAAGAATGTTCCTGTAAGAGGCTATCCTTATTCCAGGTTATATCAGACACATGTATATACAGGTAGCATTAAGTAGTTTCAGTGGGCTTTAAAAGATAAAGAATACATGAAACTATAAGGGTAGAGTCATGGGGGAGATAAGGGAACAGTTGTAAAGGAGTTGGACTTGATCAAAATATATACATATATGAAAGTTTCAAACAGTGCTAATAAGAATAAAAAGAGGTAACATTTAAAGGGAAATATATAAGAATACAAAAATATGCAAAATAGCAATCCTTTCTAATCTCTTTTCTGGAAAAAGAATAGAAAGAAATACAATCAAGAAATTAGGGCACACCTTAGAGTTTATTCCTAAGCAATGAAGGTAGCATCTCAAAATCTTAATTTTTCTGTGGTGAGGACTGAACTTCAGGATTCAGGGGTGTTAAACAAATACAATACCCCTGGGCTAAGTCCTCAGCCCATATCTTTTATATATTAAAATACAGTCTTTCAAAGTTGTCCAAGTTGTCCTGTAATTTACTCTGCAGCTCAGGTACACATTGAACTTGTGAATCCCTCATCTCCACTTCCTGAATAACTGAAATTACAGGCCTACTCCATGAGGCTCACTTTCTAAATTATATTTCCTAGATGGAGATTATTTAGATGAATGAATGGGTAATAGGTATGTAGGTGATATGGTGGTTTGAAAGAAAATGGCCCCCAAAAGAAGTGGTACTATTTAAAAGTGTGACCATGTTGGAATAGGTGTGGCCTTGTGAGAGGAAGTATGTTGCTGTGGGGGTGGGCTTTGAAGTCTCCCATGCTCAAGCTACTCCCAGTGAGACAAGACAACTTCCTGATGCCGGCAAGTCAAGATGTAGGAATCTCAGCTCTCTCCAGCCGGCATGCCACCATGTCACACCAAGATAATGGACTGAATCTCTGAAAATATAAGCCACCCCAATTAAGTGTTTTTCTTTTCTAAACATTGTTGTGGTCAGGGTGTCTCTACCCAGCAATAGATAGATAGGGAGATAGATAGATAGGTGATAGATAGATAGATAGATAGATAGATAGATAGATAGATGGATAGATAGAGTCTCTTGGATTTATTTTGTTTTGTTTTGCTTTGTTTTGCCAAATTGACCCATTATATCACCTATGTTCTACTACCTCTCTTCCGTTAAGATCTTTCCTTTCCGTCAACAATCAATGGTCCCTTTCTAGTTTCCTAGATTCTACAGCATAATCTGAGGATTTGACACTAAGTTCTACAATGGATGCTGTCCTG